TTAGTGAATGACCTTAGGGACAAGGGAAATTTGGTGAAGTGTACCCAACACATGTCCACAATGGTATGGAAGCATGCAAGTCATGCTATGGTGCCGGGAGTACAAGGTTCTTTCCTTAGAAAAATTAAGAATGAAAATAAGTCAAAATTACATTCCGATTTGAACACCTATTCAAAAATATGTCAAATCAATCAAGATAAAAAAAAAAAACTGAAATCTAAATTCATCCTGGCTATTTTGGCCTCAACCAAAAGAAAAAGAAAAAGAATTTAAAAAAAAGAAAACAACCCCTAAAATGTTCCAGCTAGGTTACAGAACCAGGTCCTTGCAGCCAATGCTAAGGTGGGAAGTGGAATGGGAGACAGTATTGGAAGAGAGGATTGTGCAAGGTGTGACAAGGGCCAGGAAAGGTACAGCAATGTGTAAGATGAGTTGGGAAGAGATAGCATGATGAGAGAAATTGTGTGATGAAAACATGTTCCATGCATCAGCCTCAGCCAGCAAATACCTCCTTCCTCGTCTTCGTCATTATCCGATAACTCTTCCCCCTGTTTCTTAGCGCTGGGTCCTGAGCAGAGCAGGAGACAGAGCCGAGCAAACAGAAACAGACAAGAGAATTCAAGAGATAACAGGACTGGAGAGTGCAGGGCATGGGCACTACCCCCTGGGGTGAGGGGAGAGATCTCACACTTGGGGGGAATAACTTACACAGGTCAAATCTTCACAGTGCAAAGTCTGGTAGGGGCAGACAACTCTTGACACAAAGCAAAAAAGGGAAGAGCAGGTGGGCAGGTCAAAGAAACCGACATCACCACTGGGTTCACATTCTTAGTAGAATTGGTCGATGTACGTTGAAGGAGTGTGTGTACTGTACATTGTATTTAATACAGGATTTTGTTATATGAAATTAACAGATTTTCTATCTATTGACAAGTGTGAATGGTATAAAATAAAGTATGGTCTTGCAGGACTAGAATTTTTTTTTTTAAATAAAAGTCTATATGGCTGTAAAGTCTTATAGCTATAAAATCTTGGGAATGCATTAAACAAAGGGAGTCATGCAGCATAGGATCAAATGACGATACATTTAATGTTGTAACCTATGGCTATACTGGTCGTAAACCTCAATTAAAGATTAAATCTGGTAATACAGGGCACAAAGAGCTGAGAAGGAATGGCAGTAATGTGATATAAACCCTAAGAGCACAATTGGTACATCTAAGTCAGAACGATTTCTCTTGTTTTCCATGACTTGCATACTCGACGAGCAAATCCTGTTACATAAATGATGTAAGATAATTAAGCTTATAGAATATGGGGGCATAAAACTACCAGCTTACATCCCTACACTTACACAGCTCCGATCTAAATTATCTGAACAACACACAGTATATCAGGGGAGATTTCACATCTAAAAAGCTGGCAGTAGAGGCAGTGAGATATGGTGCTGGTTGGCAGATGTATATATCAGTGTGAGATTATTCCGAATGTTACTTGAATGCTTTTATTAAAATATGTAAATGTAATCATTGCAAATCTCATCATAGAGGCAAGCAGAGAGCCAGACACACAAACACTTGCACAGAGACATACAGGTATTTATCACTGCTCAATCTACAGAGACTTGGAAGATATTACAATCACAGACTTACAGATAGCTTGTTTTGACCTCAGCGAGACATTGTATTTAAAATAGATTTATAAAAGCAGGCACTTCAGAGGAATGCACTGCAGTCTTCCTTGCAAGAAGGGGTTAAAGTAAATTTATCAATGTGTATAATCTCCCATTTTACGTTGAATTAAACCAACAAACCTAGCTTTCATATTTATCTGATCTGGATTTACCATTCGCGGCTCATGTCTACATATACACAGAGAAATGTGCAGAAATGGCCAGTGAAACATACACGGGATTATTTACTAACGCGAGAATTCAAAGTGAATTTTCAAATTTATCTATGTTTCTAATTCACCTGTTTTGGTCTAAAATTTACTTTGAATTCCCAACAGTTCTCGATCTAGTAAATAACACTGACAGTCTCGAACTGGCCAACAGACAACAGAGCATTTACCTGAAGGTGGGCTTAAACGAAAGTAAAATATGTCTATCAAAATAAAAAGGAAATCTACCAAACAAAAAACACATTGTCCAGAGAGGTCAAGACAAAGTCCTGGCTGGTACACTGTATCAACTATTGCATAGTATGGTCATAGGGAAGAGCAGTTCCTCCAATTTGTGGTGATAGCAAAGTCAAAAGGTTTGATAATAGAGGCTTGTAACTGACTACTCTGCCCCTGGTGTTGCTACTCTTCACACAGTAGTCACACATTGCGATAATCTGGGACGAACTCAATTGTCTTCTATGTTCTTGCCTGTGTATCCCGTCAGTTCTGAAGGTTAGTTAGATAAATGGTGAGTAGGACACAGAGGAAGTTGTGTCTACGGACCATTTAGTATAATAGCCTCCGCTGCCCACGTTCGATGCCTTTAATCAGTCCTTATTACACTAAACCTTAGAAAAAAAACGATTGGCCTGCTATTCTTTGTATGTACCAGTGTTTTCTATTCTGTTCTGTAGTAATGCAAATTATATTTTATTGCCCTTGATTCTCTTCCTGTCGTAACTTGTACATACCCCATGGGTTTACATCTGATGGAAGTACACCCACTTTGTTTCCCCTGTTCATGCAACTCGTGTTGGTGGTGTGTCTGCCCTGTTCATGCTATTAGTGTTGGTACTGTGTCTGCCCTGTTCATCCTATTAGTGTTGTTGGTGTGTCTGCCCTGTTCATGCTATTAGTGTTGGTGCTGTGTCTGCCCTGTTCATGCTATTCGTGTTGGTGGTGTGTCTGCCCTGTTCATCCTATTAGTGTTGGTGGTGTTTCTCCCCTGTTCATGCTATTCGTGTTGGTGGTGTGTCTGCCCTGTTCATGCTATTAGTGTTGGTGGCGTTTCTCCCCTGTTCATGCTATTCGTGTTGGTGGTGTGTCTGCCCTGTTCATGCTATTAGTGTTGGTGGTGTGTCTGCCCTGTTCATTCTATTAGTGTTGGTGGTGTGTCTGCCTTGGTCATGCTATTAGTGTTGGTGGTGTGTCTGCCCTGTTCATGCTATTAGTGTTGGTGGTGTGTCTGCCCTGTTCATGCTATTAGTGTTGGTGGTGTGTCTGCCTTGGTCATGCTATTAGTGCTGGTGGTGTTTCTCCCCTGTTCATGCTATTAGTGCTGGTGGCGTTTCTCCCCTGTTCATCCTATTAGTGTTGGTGGTGTGTCTTCCCTGTTCATCCTATTAGTGTTGGTGGTGTGTCTGCCCTGTTCATCCTATTAGTGTTGGTGGTGTGTCTGCCCTGTTCATCCTATTAGTGTTGGTGGTGTTTCTTCCCTGTTCATCCTATTAGTGTTGGTGGTGTGTCTGCCCTGGCCAATTTACTACTTCACTGTTCCTGTTCCACACGCTTTCTACTGGTGAAATCCTTATTGACCTTTCTGTTTTCAATACCCATAATTACATATCCATTTGTCTATCCTTGCACTGTAGCCATGGCTTTGATGGGGGTCTATGCACTATGTAGCAGAGGATTACATTTTCCCTTACATCTCTCTGACTTAGGGTTAGTGATTAGTGACCATGTAGTGGTCTGTGATGTTTGGTTGGATTCTTCCTGACATCCATATTTCTACTGATTACAACATTTCTGGGGGAGGTAGATGCAAATTCTTTCTTCAGTAAGGGTTGCTGTTGAGCCCACCCACTAGGTTCCTATTCTCTCTCTTTGCTGTGGGGTCAGTCCAGCCCCCTCCAAACACCAGTTCAAAAGTCTGTCTTTTATTCGTTTCATCTGCATCGGATGGTAGCTCCTACCTATCCCACTTTTTAGGTGGAGAGTTGGCTCTGCTCTCCCACTTCACTTGTGGAGGGTTGTTCCTCTCTCACATTGATTTTAGGTGGGCTGTCGCTCTGCCCCCACAACTTTGTATTACATACCTCCTTTCCTACATATTTTCTTGTTGGGTTTTCGGACACACTCCTTGGAAATCCGCTTTACTGTAAAATGAATAAAAGACTCCAAAATAACAGGAGATTCTACCCTTGGGGGAGGGCCCATGCAAACCTGATGTGGCTGTGCTCCCCCTCACAACTATAAAACAGGGAGATGTTAAATATTTAAGTGTTAGGTGACCCTATATGGTCCCTGTCCCATGCAGCCCTCTCTCATTACTTATATGACATTGATCTCATGGGATCGGGTAAAGGGGGCTACAAGAGTGCCGATTCAACATCGAGCAGCTCTCTGGCTCGAATTTTCAACTGAGAGGTACTGAGTGGCCATCATAGGGACACCAAACAAAGTGAAATAGTCATTCTATCACATTCCCCATTAAGCACTGGTTGTAGAGGTGGGGTATGTGTGAATCAGAACCGCCACAAAAGCAAGACTGTCCCACCATAATATTCTCCAGAACTGATGTATGACATCTTGGAAAGAAGGGAGGTTACAACGGAGACAAACCTTTTTTTTAAGGACTAAGAATGGGGTAAAATATGGGTCAGGGAAGGATGGGTTTGAAGGTTAAGGCCAATACTGGGGGAGGGTAGGAAACTGGAACTGAGTTAGGAGGAGGAGAAGAGTGAGGTTGAAACAGAGGATATTCAACTGAGGCCAAGACATAGAGAAAGGGTAGAGCGTGAGACCAAGACTAGAGGAGTGAGCAGGTAAAGAATGATTTTGGAGATGGAACAAATGTTTGATAAATCTTATGGAGTTATGAGTATGTTAGCCTTGAAAAAGGTGACTCAAAGAAGGAACCTGACCCCCCCCCCCCCCAAAAAAAAAAAAAAATAGTAAAGATACTATATCACAAAGGAATATCCAACTCATTTCATAATGGAATGGCTGTATGTATCAGCATGACATTACATGTTGACATATTTCAGATTGAAGGACTAGATTGTGACGACAGGGTTAAACAGCCTAGACCAGTGTTCTTCAACCCAGTCCTCATGGACCACCAACAGTCCAGGTTTTGTCAGTTTCTCCATTGGAATAAAACAAGAAAATATATAAAGCCTGGACTGTTGGTGGTCCATGGGGACTGGGTTGGAGAACACTGACCTAGACACTTAAAAGATTAAAGGGGAAGGTGAAGTTTTAGGGAATATACCCCAAAGTAGTCACCAATTGAGATGAAAACAAATAATGGAAGGATTATGGTTAAAAAGGGCAGGATTTATAATACTGGACGTAGCTAACTGTCTGAAAAAGGGGGATAAGAGAGATGTTCATTGAATGTAATGGGTTACAGAAGGGTTTAGAAAAACTTTAGAATTAATGTGATAAAAGGGAGAAGAGGGAAATAAGTGGAAAGGTTAAAAAAAAAACACAAAAAAACCCAAGTAGATCAAAACCTAAACAGAAGGACGAATGTGTGCCCAATACATAATGTAAGCTTAAAGAAATATGGTAATATGGTAAAAAGAAAACAAGGGGGAACAAATCTTAACTGAGCACAGGTTTGTGATGGCAAAATAAGGTAGTTGTAGACATGAATAGGTTGAAGGAGGAGAGTTAGAGCAGAGATGACGACACCAAAATAACATTTTATTGAGTCGGAGGGGAGAATCAAAATCTGATGGAATACGAGAAGGGATAACTACAACAAGCAAAGTAATGCTAGGGAAAGCAAGAAATAAACAAAGATAACTAAAATCTAGACTATATGGTAAGCAAGGTGCGTAAGCGGCAGTGGAAGTAAATGTAAAAAATAAAAAACAGTGAAAAAGAATAAAAAAGGGAGGGACTGAAACAGACAATGGAATGAGAAATAGGTGAATGCAAAAAGTTACAGTTCTGATATTTGGAGAGAGCCTGTTGCTTGAAAGTGCACTGTTTGCAAAGTAGTCATACATTTCTAGTGTTGAACATGCATTGATTTAGCTGGTGCTCAAGAAGGAGTTGCTGTTGTTTTTTCTTGAAAGATCTATCCACACCAATTTATACTGGCATCAACAGGTAATGAAAGAACACTGAAAATCTTGTTCAGTACTAAGGGTCCCCTTGAGTTTTTGTGGAGAATACCAAAGTGGACAGTTCTGAGTCGAACATCTTTTGTGTTCATCTAGCCCATCTCTGTGTTGAGTAAGTAAACCTCTCAGAGGATTGAGAAAGCCAAAGCAGAGAGCAACTCAAATAAGCTATGAATAATAGATGGATCTGAAGACATACAAAACATGGGTGACATAAGCAGGAATGAAGTAGGCAGAATAGAAGAATGCACCATGGATGAAAAGATGGAGTGGAACTAAAGAAGAAACTTGACTACATACCTATAGGCTCAGGAACACAAACACGTATTCCTGACCCTATATTGTTAAAATAACTATTTAGCCCCCAGGCACCCCTAACTATAGTAAAAAAAAAAATATTTTCTCAAAGAGATGCACTGATTGAATGCATCTCTATGAGGAGATGCTGATTGGCCAGGAAGGCGTTTGGCTCTGCGCCCCGACTACTTGGCTGAGGTCATCAAAAGTAGGAAAGCATTGGATTGGCTGAGATCGTCAGTTCTGTTGATCTCAGCCAAGGAGGCAGGGCGGGAGCGGAGCCAAACGCAGCCCTGGCCAATCAGCATCTTCTCAACTATGTGGAAAGTTCAGGGCCTCCATGCAGAGACGCTGAGGAGTGGCCACTAGAGGTGTTTCTCTCAAAAGCAAGTGTTTACAACAAAAAACCTGTTGGAACTGACTATACTCCCCAGAACAACTACAAAAGGTGTTAGTGTTCTGGTGACTATAGTGTCCCTTTAAATCGAATTAGGTAGAGAGTGGTAGCTCAAAGTTGTACATGGAGTACAGAATATGCAGCGATTACTGACAGATGTGGCACTTTCAAATTCAGTCAATGAAAATGTACAAAAACCCTCAAATAAGAGAATAAATTGAGGGAGTTGGCATACAAAAAAAAAAAAGCCAAACCTTAATATGATACTTCAGGCTGGAGGTGACCAGTCATTTTAAAGGCACAAAGATAAAAAAAATCTCTTTAGTTCCCTCGTGTGCCGCAAACCTACAACTGTTTCAGGGAGCAAGAAGTGGTTAAAACATCTTGATTGAGAAAAGCAGGATTATTTACTAAAGTGAGAATTTAAATAGTTTTTTAAATGTAAGGCTAGAGCAGCTGAACTGAAAGCAAAGCTGACTATTTTGACCTTAGAAGGACACTATAGTCACCCAGACCACTTCAGCTCAATGAAGTGGTCTGGGTGCCAGGTCCCTCAGGTTTTAACCCTTCAGATGTAAACATAGTAGTTTCAGAGAAAGTTGGGGTTAATCCAACCTCTAGTGGCTGACTTCCTGACAGCCGCAAGAGGCGCATATGCGACGCTGGGTGCAAAATTTGCATCCAGCTTGCAGAACGTCCATAGGAAAGCATTGAGAAATGCTTTCCCATGGACTGTTTGAATGCGCGTGCGACACTTGCTGTACATGCGCATTCCGCTCCACTTGGGAGCTGACGTTGGCGAGGGAGGAGAGGTCACCAGCGCCGGATTTAGGTAAGTGGCAGAAGGGGTTTTAACCCCTTCAGCGCCAAGGGAAGGGGACCCTGAGGGTGGGGGCACCCTTAGGGCACTATAGTGTCAGGAAAACCGCTTTGTTTTCCTGACACTATAGTGATCCTTTAAATTTGAAATTCACCTTGAATTCTCACTCTAGTAAAATAACCCTGGATGTCTGAGAATGCCGATTCATGAGTATTCTCAATAGAATTGCTGTGGATATCCTAAGTAGTTCAATGGTAGTTTAATTCACACACAAAAAGACAAGAAAGAAACTACCTTCCAAGTTTATCAAATTTGCAGCATGACTTCTATTATCTTACAAAATATAAAATAATTAGTTCAACTATTAGTGGTTTTTCATGCGTGATACTGTTGCACAGGCTTTCTCATTGAAAGCTACGAGAAGGCCCATAGATGGACAGAGTGTTAAGTGAACACACATCCTCAACATGATCTTGTATGACCCAAGGAACCAAAACACTGCTACTATAAAAGGAATTAAATGAAGAAAAATGAAGGGAACACAGTGAAATATTGACATGGGTATTCTTAAGCGGAACATAACATAAGGTACACAGGTCCTTGTGTTGCTTGCGTGTTTGTGGTGCTAGAGAGGATGATTGAAGCACACTGAATGAAGTGAAGCAATAATTAATTATACGCAGGAAGCACAGAGGGTGAGGTGGAGTGAGGCCAAATTCTACAGAGTGTAATGAAACAAAATGCATTAAAATGAAGTAACAAAACGACTACATTATGCAAATGGAGATAGAAGACGAGAAAGTGAAGGAATGAATGAATACAAGTTCAGAGAAACAGAGGATCCGAGGGACAACCACTAAATGACAATGAGTGAGCTTTGATTTAAACATACGGAGTGTGGGAGAAGCAAGTGAGATAATTAAAAGGAATGATTAAAGAAGGCAAATAAAGAATGGAGGATTAAACAAAGATGTTGCGAAACCACAGATGAACTCTTAAGCAGGTGAGGGAGTTGTTAAGTTTGCAGAACAGAAAACACATTTTGGGGAGGACGGAGACAATACTGTTATGTTTGATTGCTTACGAAAAGCAGAGATAAACTCAAAGAAACCAAAATGGGGGACCAAAATTGTTATTCGAAACACAGAAAAAGATGAATAATTGAGAGGCGTGGGGGAATGAGGAAATTTAAGATAAGGATTGCCAGACCATAGACATGTATTTGGAGGAGAACAAAACAGAACAACTAAAAAGTGGAAGAATAAAAATAAGGATGAGCGATAAAACCAGAGGATGAACAATGTAAGTGATCAGAGGGAGGGACAGCTAACACAATGAGCTAGGCAACTCGGAGAACGTAAGGGAGACCAACGGAAAGTAACAATAGGAAGATATGAAGGATAGACTGCTAATGATTGGGAAAGATGGATCTGGTGGAGAAAGGAGAGTGAAGACAAGTAGTAGAACAAAAAGATTGTGTCAGGGCATATAAAGGATTGCACGAGGGAAATAAGTAAGCAAGACAGAGTGAGAGCTAAAACAAAAGAAATAAGGGTTTAGGAAAGGGAGTGGAAGTAGACATGGCTAACTCTGTGAAGATTAGGAGGGAATACAGATTTGGATGAAGAGAGATACCAGTATTGCAGGACAGGGTTATTGGGACTGAGTTCGGAATTTGGAATGGGCTGCTGGAAATGAAACAGACTGAATAACTGACAAATAGGAAAGGCAACTAATATCATAGGACAGACAGAACATGAAAAGATAGAGAGAAGGACTCAGGGAAGAGGAGACACAAAGTAAGGGGGTGGGATAGAGACAGTGCTTAAGACTTGGCTTGCAAATAGCACTCATTGTTGCTAACACACAACATGCAGCAGGCATACACCCTCCCTCCATGCTGTGGACATCGTAACACAGGAGGGACTACACGCAACCCATCTTAGATCCCCAGGGTTTGGGAGGGGTTCTTACCGTACCCCTCTCTACTCACCATCTTCTGTAGGTACATATATATTGAGGTACAGACAGTCCTCGTTCTGCTCCTGCAGATAACCAGTTACTGTGTCCAAATTTGAGGTGAACCAGACAGGCATCATTATATCTGGTACTGCATTCTGTATGTTCTGGGGGCACACAGGTGAGAAGTGGGTGGCATTTCTTATGCCAGACCATGAGGGAGGTGGTTCAGGGGGCAGGAAACGTTTTTCGCCTACAGGGGATGCTGCATAGGGCACCCCCAGATACTGATCCACAGGGCCCAGGATTTCGTTTGGCAAAGGCACGCGTGTGCCGCGCAGCTTGCCGTAGTTTGTGTTCACAGTCTGAGAATACACCTGTGCATGAGAGGAGAGGAAGCGGGAAGTGATGCTCAGAAGCCACAGGACCAAACGCAGCTTCCCAGGGGCCACACTGAGCCCAACCACATGCATGGTATGAACAGTACAGTGTTAGCATCCAGGACACAAGCACCACTGGGAGCAGCAGAAATAAAGGACCCCCCCACTTCAGGGGAAGTCATTCACATCCTGTATACCAAAAACACAGGCCGGGGCCA